AACTTTGCAATACACAGAATTTCCACAGTCACTTTAAACTTAAACACACGCTATAATTCACAACGATTCACGCACTTTACTTACTGTCACTACCACTCGCTTGACTCAATTATCTGTCTCTATATCTCTCTATCTGCTCTCATATCTCAGCTTTATTTGCCGGGCTTATATACTAAAATAGAGGGCGCATAGAAAAGACTAGAGTTGCCAGGAAAAATCAAGATCCTACTAGAATCTCATGACGTGTTACCAGCATCACACGTGACTTCCGCTGTCATAACAATATCAATACACATTAACAGCTTCAATTCTGAAGTGTATCATAAAAATATATTTATTGGTTTATGTTTTAATTTTGACAGCCTTATTCCAAATTTGTTTAAAACACGTTTGATTAAAATATTGATTAATTGTGCATATAAAATCATTAATATACAATACAACACATAAAAAATTCGGAAATGATGTATTTTTTAAATAAAAATGTTTTTCAAAACAACACTGTTGATTACATCATACCTAATTGCTTGGGTAAAGTCAATAAATTTATAATTAAAAGGGAATGTTTCTAGGTAGCCTCTGTTAACAATATTATTATAAAGAGCAACAGTTTTATTATATATATGGTAGTATAGTAGTACTATGCCTTACTTTTCACATTTGTTAAACCACTGTTTTATACTTAATTGCTCAGCCCAATAACACCTACTGCTAAGTGCTATATCTAGTACTTGCTATGTCTAAAAGAATAGTCAGACAGTCATATAATAAAACTGTTTTATAATTAATCGCTCAAACTTACATCAACATCATTCTACCAAATTTACTCCATATATGTAAAGCTATACAAAGTAATGTTTATTATAATTCTGCACTGACTATGTACATTTTCACAAAATCTGGCAACATTTCTGTGAATATTAGAAGTCCATTGTACACAAAAGATCTGAATTCTTAATAAAATATCTACTACAGATTTTTTCTGAATTTTTGAAACCTGTACTTTATACGAAGTAAAATCAAAAATTATAATTATTCATTCCAATAGCCTCAGCTTCTAAAATGTTTCCAACTGCATTAATTTAATTTTATTGGATAGTCAGAGTGGTTTCACTATGGTAAAAATATTGCCTTACTAATCTTTAGGCATTCTTTGAAAAGGTTACTGCTCACACAGATGAGGGTACGGTTGTAGATATGTGTATCTGAATTTTCAGAAAGCATCTGACAAGGTGCCACATAAAATGCTTGTTAAAAAAGTTATCTCT